TTCTAGTGTGGCTGTTTTTACCCTGCTGATTTTCAGTGAGCAGTTCAACTGCCTCTTTAATATTTTTCTAATATTGTTTCTTTTTTTCATTAGAAAACACAAGTTCCAGCTTTTCACTGCAGTCATAGTACTAATGAATGTGGCATTCTATTTCTCAAGAGGATCAGTAATCTTTGCATTTTTCATATAATAATAGATTGAATTAGATGTCAGACTGAATTCAGTTCAGGGCACTATTATGCTCTTGATATTTTTTTATAAGGTGCATTATTATTAAAATGATTCTTACATTTTTTTCTGTCTGGGAGACACATTACAAACAAGCTAACTGTTGAAAGAAAACAGTGGTTAGAAAAATAATACCGATCTTTGTCAGATTTTGGAACAGAGCAGGGTTCTCTGGTATCTTTATTGCTATGTGAGTCTTATTCTGTTCATTGCCTATCAAAGAAAAACATGAATTGTAACAGAGAGGGAGAGAGAGAGAATCTGTTTCACTAAAAGCTACTTCCAAAGACACATTGTTTCTTAAGCTTGGTTGAGTGTTGGAGCCATGTTCTCTTCCCATTCCAGCTTTCCTAGTTGTCTTCTTGTACACCAACCAGACTTTGAATCCTGGCTTCTAAGCTGCAGTTTAATGTTAGTTTGCTAATCAGGATCTTACATAGGATCAAACCATGGTTTTAATAGCCCTATTATAATCATCACTGAACCACAGTTCCTCCTATATGCAAAATAGGGAATTTTAGTTAGAACTGGGGATAAGCTCATTTGACACTTTTGCCTGAGTGATCCAATGTATTTCTTTGAGGTATTATTTGAACTGAATCCTGTAATGTGGAGTTTTGTTTTTTTAAGATTTCAGCATATGTGTGAATTTTCATTTCAGGAAAAAATTGAAGCTATTAATCAAGCCATAGCCAATGAATATGAGGTTCGAAGAAAATTGTTAGTGAAACGTCTGGATGTAACTGTGCAGTCATTTGGCTGGTCAGATCGAGCAAAGGTATAGTTTGCTTTCTGTAGTCAAACTGTTTTTTGAAAGAGCATTAGTTGTCTGTAGTTAGACAACTGTCTTTTGTAATTAATGGGTGGTGAATTAGCTAATCTTTTTTATAAACATCAGTCTTTTTGTCTTGCACTAATAATAAAGTTACAGAGTAGAGTCCTCCAATTATTTCATTTTATTATTCCCATCACCTGCCTCCATGGAGTCAACATTTT